GCAAGCCGAAAGCAGATACTGATTAGAATGAGTGTGAGAAGTATAACATATTGTATATATATATATATATATATATATATATATATATATATATATATATATATATATATATATATATATATATATGTATATATATATATATATATATATATATATATATATATATATATATATATATATATATATATAATCTGGACGGTCGCTAGCTCCCTCGTCATTGCCCATAGAGCAAAGTAATCCCCTTATTGTTTTCTTTTTTTGATGTCGGCTACCCCCCAATTAAAGGGGGAAACAGCCAAGGTATATATATATATATATATATATATATATATATATATATATATATATATATATATATATATATATATATATATAGAGAGAGAGAGAGAGAGAGAGAGAGAGAGATAATGGATGGATGCTCTTTATAAATCCATGCTTAGATCTTTCCCTCCTCAACTGCTGTCTTGATATAGCTTTCCCTTAAATCTGAGGAGAAGATTATAAGATGCGTGAATAAAAAGTGTGCATGACAGGCAGAGAATGAATGCCCATGAAAAAAGAAGGCCACTGCGGCTTAACAAACGTGGAACTAGCGGCAGGCAGGTTAAATAATCGTATCTCTGGTATTTAAGATTCCGCACGCATCTCCAACCAATTTAAGCAGCATTCGTGATAGAAAATGATCCCTCTTGCTGGTTTTCTTCGTTATACTCTAACCTGTGAAGAAGAAAAGTGCTTACTTGATTTTGCCAATAATGCGTTTTCTAATGCGAGTTTCTGTTATTGTGTAATACATTACAAATATTGCATTTATAATTATTTATCATGCTTGTTTGTTGACAGCTTGCGTGTTTTGCGACCTCTTAAGTTGCTCACCCACACGCCACCCTGATACTCCTTGTATGGCAACTCCTACACATTGGTCAGCGAGTTTCACACTATTTCATTATTCTTCGCATGATTTCACATTTGCTCTTGAAAATATAGAATGAAGTCCGGGACTGTAGTTGATGCATTTTATAAGGTAAAAGCCATTGAATATAGCAAATAATAAGATAAGATTAAGATTATCAGTTAATCTTCAGTGATAACTCACCGAGTGGTTGATTGTAAACAGATGCAAAGTTGTTTAACTAAATTTCGTAATTTTTAACTGAATATGAAGGGAGTAAAGATTTCTACACCTCATAACACATAGATATTGATAAAACAGTTAATTTTACATTCATATATAATACATTATACGAACTTACGGCCAAAAGAAATGAAAAATACGTTAGAGAACGAAACATTATGCATTATCAGGGCGGGAAGCTCGAGACGTCAGAGACAGGTCACCACAGTCTGTGAACTCATACTCAGTCTCTCAGTTACTTCGAGTCTGTTCTTTGAGAGCTGTAGATCCGCGGGTCGTGTCATCAGTGATCGACATTCCATTTTTGTTTTTTTGTTTTTTTTTCCACACACGGAGACTGGTTTTGAGTGCATTTATGTGTTTATACTTGGTGCTTTTTATTGTCTGTGATAGCATTTGTTTATATAAGGACATATGAGAATTTATTTATTTATTGTGTTTATTAGATCGCGTGGTGTACTTTAGATGCAACAAAATTAAGTGTTTGTGTAAGTCTGAAAGTGATTATAGTGAGTGAGAAAACCAACTCAATAATTTTGGTGATGTATACTTACTTTACAAATATTAATGCATAATAAATGTAGTGTATTATCGCTTCAGAGTATCAGTGATAAATATAGTGTGTATTTTTTTGTTTGTTTTATGAAGAGGGTTTTGAGCGTGTGACGTAGTTTCAAAATGGGTGGCAAAGCAGAGAAAAAATATGAGCAGTACATTCAAGGTGCAATTGAAAAATACAAAACCACACACAAAGACATCATGATAAAATTTCGGTAAGTTTAAACATAATCATTTTGGATGTCGGCCTTTACAAATATGTTGATTTTCAAAAGAAAGAGAACATGGATTTAGTTTCTCAAAGTTTAGAAGATCTCAACTTTTCTGTGAAGTTTTCACTTGTGTATTTTTTTTTGGGGGGAGGGGTTTATCAGATATCCTAATTATTTAGACTTTAATTTGCGCATAAGATTGGACTGTTGTATTCCAAGGAAAATGAGGCTTAACAAACTGAGGCAGTATTACAATGCCTAAGTTAGGTTAGATTGCAATTTGATGGTGTCTCCGTTTTCGTTGGAAACGGATTGTCTTAACACCCAAAAACTTCTGATTTGGAAACTGTAATGGTTTCCAAATGGTCACCTAATGTTCATTTTTAACTCCACTTTGAAATTGGAGAAAATATATAATCCTAACAGATCTATCCAACTGAACAGTTGGTGTGTAAATGAGAGAAAAAAATGTCGTTATGCAAGATTTTTTTTTTCTCTGAAAGTGGCAGATAGGTTTTGCTGTGGAGGTCGTGAATATTTCCTAAGAACACTCTAGTCCTTGTTCAACGTTCTGTAATTAATAGAAGACCGGAGATGGTTGTTCTCTATGTATTTTTTTTTTTTTTAGTTTTTTAAAGAGAATATGATACTAGCTTCTATTAATTTAT